ACTTTGACACAAAGGCATCTGCTGTGATGCTCACACTTCTAATGAAGTTTCACAAGTGTCAGTACTGATAAATGATCAGAATTATAATATATTTTCCTACTGTGTGAGGCAAAATTTCCCCGATTCGAATTGAATCAGGACATTGTGAATCGGAATCGACTCTATTATAGAAATCAGTGATGATACCCAGCCCTATTCATCACCTCCTCGGTCTCCTCCTATCTTTCCCCTTTTGCCCATCTTTCGCTGTTCTTTCTCTTACCAAACGGCTTCATGGAGCATGAGTCCCATCCCGTTCTTTCTCTGTCTCTCTGTGACCTTTCATTGGCCTCGTAGCCAATATCCTGTACCTGGTATGTGTGGCACAACTCTCCAATTACCCCTAGAGTGATGCAAAATTTTAAGGTGGGCCCCATTTTTAGGGACATCACAGATAATCAGATTCGTCCTATCACTGCCAGCAATAATACACAGGTGTCTATCTCTCAGAGACAGAAAAGAGACACACTACCAATTAGGAGTTGGAGATTTAATGCATCATTACTTACAGAACAAGATTTCCTTAATTATTTGAAAAAGGTGTATGGACTCATTTAGAAAACAATGACCTGCCAGGAATATCACAATGTATTCTTTGGGGAGCTAGTGCAAAGGCTACGTTTGGAGAACTTTGAACATAGCAACATATTTGGAAATTTCCTTGCTAACCAGTTAAAACTTACAGCTATTTATTATATAAACAATTCGACTAGGAACATTACTCATGATCCGCAAAAAATAAAACAATCTTTTAAACACTTATACAAAGCTTTATACTTATTACATCTGTAAACACGAACTCTGCTATCATTAGCCTACATCTTAAACCAGGTAAAGACCCCACACTCCCATCCAGCTACCACCCAATCTCACTCATAAATGTAGACATTAAAATAATCTGCAAAGCCCTTGCCAGAAAATTAGAAAAAAAATCACTTCTTTCATAATAATAATAATAATAATAATAATAATAATAATAATAATAGTAATAATAATAACTTTATTTATAAAGTGCTCTCAGACAAAGTGCTGTACAGCTATTTGAAAATAAAGAGATAAATAAATAAAAGTGATGCATAGCAATATAAGTTAAAAACACAATAACAAGTTAAAAATAATGGATTGGATTTCTATAGCGCTTTTCAAGGCACCCAAAGCGCTTTACAATGCCACTATTCATTCACTCTCACATTCACACACTGGTGGAGGCAAGCACGGTTGTAGCCACAGCTGCCCTGGGGCAAACTGACAGAAGCGAGGCTGCCATATCGCGCCATCGGCCCCTCTGGCCAACACCAGTAGGCGGTAGGGTAAAGTGTCTTGCCCAAGGACACAACGACCAGGACAGATAGCCCGGGGATCGAACCGGCGACCTTCCGGTTACAGATACGCTTCCCAACCCCCTGAGCCACAGTCGCCCCCAATAAAATAAAAACAATAAAAATAAAAAAAAACCCCTAAAAGGCAAAGAATTAAGACATGTTAGATATGGTGAACAAGAGGGTCTTCAACTTAGCTTTAAAAACCTCCACAGAGCATGCCTGCCTAATATCTTGAGGGAAGCTGTTCCACAAAAATGGGGCACGAAAAGAAAAAGCGTGTACCTGGATAGTTTCTTTTCTGGCTCTAGGAACCTTTAAAAGGCCAGAATCCTGGGATCGGAGAGCATGGGATAGAACATAAGGGTGCAAAAGATCAGAGAGTTATGAAAGTGCAAAACCATTTAAAGCCTTGTATGTGAGCAGCAAGACCTTAAAATCTGCAATTATCCGAAAACCAGCCCCTAATTGCAGATAGACACAATTCTAATTTAGACACTTCAGCACAATTTCCAATGGTTAAAGGAACATAAAGCTGCAGGTCATCAGCATAACAAGGAAAAGTTACATTAAAAGAACGTAATAGAACACCAAGAGGCAGCAGATACAGAGAAAACAACAATGGGCCAAGTACAGAGCCTTGAGGCACCCCATGCTCCACTGCACAGATCTCGAAGAGATCATTTTTGAAACTAACAGTCGGAGACCTCCCAGACAAGTAAAAACTCAGCCATGATAAAACATTTCCTGTAACTCCAATAAAATGTTCAAGCCTATCCAATAACATACAGGGATGCACAGTGTCAAACGCAGCACTTAGATCCAGCAGTAATAAAACCAAAGTGCGATCGTTGTCTGCATTTACCAGCAGATCATTTACCACTTTGACTAAAGCTGTTTCTGTGGAGTGATTTGGTCTAATAGCAGACTGAAATGGTTCAAACAGATTGTTAGTTGACAAATGCTCAGTGAGCTGCTTAAAAACAACTTTTTCATAGACCTTAGACAAAAAAGACAGATGTGAGATGGGTCTATAGTTTGCAGCCATGTCAACATCCAGTCTAAGCTTTTTCAAGATTGGTACTACCACAGCTGATTTACAACATTCAGGGAAGACTCCGGTCGTCAGTGAAGTATTTAAAAGAAACAGAATGTAGGGTCCTAATACTGACCACAGTTCCTTTTAGTGACGGTAAATTTGATTCTTTTTACTGAATCGAGTTTTAATGAGTCACTCACCAAAGTGAATCGGGTTTTTTGAGTCATTTGATTCACTGAGTCAGTCGACCAGAGAGTGCAAAAATGTACATTTTCAATCAAACTTAATTTGTTTCTCTTTTCATGTAAATCCTACTGCTAAGATGAGTGATTCTAAAAGAAAACAACTATTTTATAGAGCAAAAAAGACCAAAGACATTTCTAAAATTGGGCAATTTCCTATCAAAATTGCTTAATAAACATTTATTTTGTTTATTTTTATTTTATTAGTATTTTCCTTAAATGTGTCAAATATATATTTTCTCATCTAAATGTCCACTGAGCTGTGAGCCAGGGGGCGGTAATGCGCCTTAACATTGGTTGCCAACCAAGAAGAAGAAGAAGCTGTGAGCCAGGAGGGAGGGGGTTAGTGAGTCCTGAGTGATTCGTTGACCCTCTCCCTCAGCACAGGAGGGAGGGGGTGAGTAGCTCAAATGTGCTGTTAGCATGTTAGCAGAGCGATGCTACTGTGAACTGAGGAGCTATTGTCTTGATGTGAGCTTCTACTCAGGGTTTTTTCTTCCAGTTCAGAGCAGAAATTTTTTTGTTAAGATACTGGATGTTGTGTTTTTCTCCACAATTTTAATTATAAGCTAGATACATTGCTGCTAACAGCAACAGGGATGAGTCAGTGAGTCAGTTGGGCTTGTGAATCATGATTCATGAGTCAGTAAAGTGATTCTCGAGTATTGAACGATTCGTTCATGATTCGCGCATCACTAGTTCCCTTATGGCCCAGGTTGGTAGAGGATCTAAAGAACAGGTTGTAGAACGAGCTGCATTTACAATCGTAGTTAATCCAGACAGGGAAGTAACCTTGAAGTCACAGAACACTTTATCAGCACCAACAGGCAAAGCAGCTGAGTAGTCTGACGAACTGCTCAAGGAGGGAGTAATCTGATTCCTAAGTGTTTCAGCCCTGTCTCTGAAAAACATAAGAAAGTTATGAGCTGTCAAATTTGAAGAGGAGAGAGTTGACTTACTCTCTGTAAGTTGCGACACTGTTGAATAAAAGTTTTGAGTTATGCTTATCAGTCATGATTTGAGAAATAATTTGCTTTCGCTGCAGCCATCGATGATTGAAAAAAAGACGAGTCTTTCCAAGCCTGGAGAAATACTTCAAGTCTGGAAGATCGCCAGCGACGCTCTGCTTTTCTATAATTTCTTCTCAAATTCAAGAGCTCCTCACCTGCATACCTACCTAATAGTAGGGAACCATAGCCTTGCTGGCATGGAAGGAGATCCAGGCTCCAGAAATCTAGAGGCCCTCCAGAGCAAAAGAGCCCAAGGAGGACCACTGAAGGGGCTGTCACGCCACCCTCCTAGAAAAGAGCTGAGGAGAGCCCCAGATGGGGCAGTCACCTGGCAGGCACTGTGCAGAAGTCACAGAAAGCTGTGACGGTGTGCCCACAGGCTCCGCCAGCAGCCGGCTACGCCAGAGCAGACACACCCCCCGGGCCCAGAGACCCGAGGGTCCCCCCACCACCCGGAAGGGGCCCGACTAAGCCATGGCTGGTTCTTGTAGAGCGCTATTCTGATCTGAGTACTCAAAGCAATTGATGACAAACATTTGACTTTTTTGTCAAAAGAGCAGCTGAATAAGAAAAATAAATGAATGTGAATGGATTTATTTGTGTACAAATAACTTTAAAAAGTATGCTAAATGCTTCTACAATATAGGTGAAACTAAAATGAATGTGTTATAAGAAATACAGACATATATATTAGTTTAGCACTTTCTAAAGAGAATACCAAATGTGGTCTTTTCATACAGAGGTGGGCCCTGTTCTGACACCCGTTTTAATTCTATTCCCACCCAGTCATGTTGTAAGATACTAACACTGTAACTGAACAGACTGCTTTCTGAATATTTGGCCTCTTTCACCAGACATTCTCTTTTATCCAGAATGTCTCTCTGTGCCTCTTACAGTTACACTACAGCACTGACAACAAATTTAGCAATGCTTCCCCCACTCTCAAGGTCTTTAAATAGCTGCAGCTCACAGACCGGGCAGCTGCTTCTGTGCGTCTTACTCTGGTTTGACCCAATTGAGCCTTTAAAGGCTAATCCCATTCCTGCTATTTTTAGATTAAAGTGCTGATAAAGTTTTTTTGTTTTTAAATACCTTTACATTTCTGTTCCAAGAATAAATGTGGGTTGTCACCTATCTCTCAGAGATTTTTAGTTATTTGCTGTAATCTCTGTGAAATTGTTCCCCTTACTACACCAGCCAGATTTCCCCACCTTGACACCAAACAACAAATAAACAAAACTTAATATTAGCCAGATTTATCCTGTGAACTACTGTCTCACCTATATGGGCTGCTCCTTTTGACTCTCTCCTTCTCTCATTGGCTGCATTTCTTTCTTCTTTTTCTCAGCCCTGCCCCCATCTATCATTCTCCTTCTTGCTCACTAGTCCTTACCTCCCTTGACAGTATATTTCTTTGGCCATGGATGAAAAATGTCAAACACTCATGAAAAGAAGACAAAAAGAAGAAAATGAAGCTGCTGAAATCGCAAAGGATGCAAAAGACAAAAAGAACAAAGAACAGGAAACTGTGGATAATGGAGAAGCTGCATCAGCTGAAGCAGCAACCACCAGTTGCCATACTGAAGAGTTTCAGTTGGAGCCAATGGAACTACCTCCTTTTGAAATAATTACAGGGTAGGTTACCCCTTTGACAAATTTCTTACACAGTTTTTCTGTCTGTTTTTTCTGCGACTCTTTCTTAGATGTCTGTTACTGTAGCATGTTCATTTTGCTGTGGTCTGCGTGGTGTTAGATCTACTAGCCACTGAGCTTGTTATGCGTTCTGTCCATCTCCCATATACTCTTCCAGTATTGCTCCATCTCCAACCTTGGTGGGGGTTTTTTTCATGTAGTTCTCCGGCCACTGACAGGATATTTTGTAGGTATTCCTTTTGTCATCGCAGTTTTCTGCAGTTCTGATAGTTGGCTAACTTCTCTCTGTGTTGCCTTGATCTAATCTGATTTTCCATGGATGATGATATCGCCCACTGATCTGGGACAATACTTGTCATGCATGGTTTTGTCCTACAGGCAGAAAATGCCCATGTGTTAAATTCAGCTTTGGGAAAAAACAATGACTTTAGAACATGTAAAACATCCATGTAAAACATAGATGACCTAGCAGCTCCCCAAAAATTAAGCCAAAATGTCTTTATCGCCCCCTGTTGTCTAGCTTCATAAACCCCGCCTCCTCCATATTAGTGGGAACAGCTTGTTCCTGATGGTCTTCTTCACCCATCTTTGTCCAGGGTGAATGTATCTGTAGATAACTCTGGATCCTGTTAACAAATAAAAAGATCTAATTACACTTATATGAAACCTGCTGCTATGTTTTTACATTGAACATTTTATTTAAAGTTTCCATGTTACCAGGCTGTAGAGTGACCTGTGAGTGCAAAATCTTAAAGGACAACATTTAATTTTCGGATATTTCAGATATTAACACTTCCTCTGGGCCTCTGTGCAGTAGGCAGCTGATGTCATCTCAGTCTAAAATAGGAGTGCCGAATCATTCGACTATATAGACTACAAGAGTAACACAGGTGTGAAGCATTGCTAGCACGAGCCTCTAACACACTGTGCATGCTAAACGGTTAATCTAGCAAAGTTCTTAATGATAGGAGCAACAAAGCGATCAACTATAAGCTGTTAAGGCATATGTTTTTTTAATTATAGCAACGTGGTTGTATTTATCTTAATTTAGCAAGCTGTCAGTCACAGTAAACTAGAGATCCGATATATATCGGTCTGATCCTGACCTAAATTACTGGTCGGATATCGGGGAGAAAAGTAATCCGATCCATTAAATAACACAAAAGCATCTCACAAAACTTGCAACAATGCGTAGGCCAGGTAATAACCTTAGCACGTTGGAGCAGTGTGCGTCACGTGACAGAGCGGCTGTTGTGTACGAGACCTGTCGGGCAGTCTGGAGTTCACACTCTAAGCATCTGGAGCCTTGCTACACGCTGCCAAACCAGGTGTTGTGCTAAGGTAGGTATCCCCGACAAGATTAGTTACCCCTGTGTCACGAGCATTTGCTGGGCACAGAGATCCAGTGTACTCCACCTCCATTACACACAATTAGACATGGAAGTAGTGATGTTTTAGTTTTGTGAAAAAGTGAAAAGTGAGTGTTGTTACATTACCATTCAGTTTGAGGGTTACAGCAGAAAATTATATATTTATTGTTCTCACGTGGTAGGGGATTATTCTAACAAATGAAGGACATTTTGCCTGATAATTATTTTTATCTTCCTGTAACTAAAACCTCCAAAGTTTCAGGAGTAGGTAGCCATTACAAGAAGTGTTTGTGAACTAAAAATCAAGAATGTGGGATACTGTTTGTCCGTGATTTGGAGAGCCCAGCATGTGCTCCCAACGCAAGAGAAAGGAATTCTATCGGGGATACCTACCTTGGAACGACACATGGCTAAACAGTTTGGTGGTTCGGAAAAAAAACTATGAAAAACACTTTTGTCATACATTTGTTAAGTGTTGTATAGAAATTACATGAAATTCTTTAACTCAGGTTAAACGTGATAGAAACAGCTTACACTGACATCCATCCTGATAACAGATGAGTGTCATGAAGCTGTGTTTGCATTTATTTGCACTGCTTTCCACTCTAGAAATCTATTTATGTTAAGCTTAAAGTATAGAAGGGTCAATTTTTTAAGTTGTTGAATACTAACTTTATTTTGGCCTGGTATTGCACTTCTTTTTTTCAGAACCAAAAAGTTTTTGAAATCTGCATAAAATTGTATTTTAAGTTACTTTCTGAATATTTCTTTAAATACTTCGATTTAAAGTTCTGCTAAAAGTTTAAATAGAAAGATCAGTATTGCTGAACTGTGAAATATTTTGTGTGCAGTGTATTTTTTGGATACGGGTATAACCTGGAATAGCTTTAGTGTTTTGTTTTTTCAAACTTGAGTATGAACCTATAAAAAATGGAGTAAAACATTAAAAAAAAAAAACAGTTTCATTGATTATAAAAGACTGTATCGGATTCATATCGGTATCGGCAAATATCCAAATTTATGATATCAGTATCAGACATAAAAAAGTGGTATGGTGCCATCTTTAAAGTAGAGCTGAGGTTTGTGGTTGGGGTTTGACGCAGCGACTGAAGTCACTGCTGCGCAGAATCTGTGCAACATGGCAGCCTGCACAAACAGGAAATTTTGGTTTAATTTCTGTACAGTTGTTGGAAGTGGAACCATGTCATTCATCTTTTATACAGTCACTGGTCAAAAAGCAATCTGTTTTCACAAAGAAGTTAAAAACGTCAAAAAAAGAAACTCAAGTTTTATTTCAAGCTTCAGATGTTTTGGATACAAAACAAGAAAAAGCCTATTCTGACTTTTATAACATCAGGTACCAGGCTAATCTCATTACAAGTCGCTTACAATAATTAATTATAGAAAGGGGCCACTTTTACGTTTTTCTCCTACATAACTGTAGGAGAAAAAGAAGAAAAAAAAGTCAAAAACAAGGGACGGTTTTTTGTATTTTTTTAAAATAAAAAAAATACAAAAAACTGTCCCTTGTTTTTGACTTTTTTTTTTTAAAGTATGTTTATTGGGATTTTTTGATATAAGGGAAAAAAAGACACTAAAAAAACAAAAAAACAACAGACAACATCTTGATGTATTCTCAATCATCCAGGAAAGCAAATCTCCAAAAGTTGATTCTGTTCATCTGGACGTAGCGTTTTGCGGGAGAAACGTTTCGTCATTAGTGTTTCATCCTTTTCTTCTTTCAATAACAAAGAAATATTAGCTTCATATAGCGTACGGGGAAATGCTTGAGTATGGAAAGAATGCTTAAACATTCTCAATAAAAGCGGGACCACCTTTTCAGAGTATTTTTTATACAATTCAATGCCAAACCCATCTGGGCCTGGGGACTTAATAGCTTTCGAAACTTCTTCAATAGTAATATCTGAGTTTAAAGCCTCTCGTGCAGCGTCATTCATTTTCGGGAGATCCAGCTTCCCTAACCAATCAGAAATATTGCCCCAAGATTTCGACATATAGAGCTCTTCATAATATTCTCTAAATCACTCATTAATAGCTTTAGGGCTGATTAAAATTTCGCCTGATCTCGATTTAATTTTGTGTATAGCCCTACTGGCCTGTAGGCCTCTCAGCTGCAGAGAAAGAAGCTTATGGGGCTGATCTCCAAACTCAAAATGCTTCTGTCTGATCCTAAATAGCTGATTTGTTACTTGACTAGATAAAATTGTGTTATACTCAAACTTCCTTTTAATGATGTCTTGAAACAGAGAGGAACAAGAGGAGGCCTTGTGGTCCTGTTCTAACTGTGTTAATTCAATTTCTATTTCTAACAGGCGTTTCCGGCGTTCTTTTTTTCACGAAGTTTCAAAAGAAATCTCCTCGCATTACCACTTTAAATGTTTCCCATAAAATCGAATCAGAAACGTCTTGTTTATCATTAGTTTCCAAGAATTCTGATATTTTAGTTGTCATAAATTGGCAAAAGGATGTCTCAGACAGGAGTGACGGGTGAAAACGCCAGTTACCCTGTTGTTTCGTTCCACAGAAGTCCAGGACTAAAGAGGTTTGAGAGTGATCCGAGATCAAGATGTTGTGATAAGTTGAGCATACAACTTTAGACATAAATTTAGAATCAAGCAAAAAATAATCTATTCTGGAGTACGATTTGTGCACTTGTGAAAAATAAGAGTAATCTCTACCAGTAGGGTTACACAGTCTCCAAACATCAACTAGGTTAGTAGAACTCAACATATTATTCAGAACAGTCAAAGCGTTAATCAACTGGGAGGTTTGAGTAGATCTATCCAAGTGTTTATCAAGTACACAATTAAAATCGCCTCCTAAAATTACATGAGTATCAGCGAGACTAGGTAACAAATTAAATATTTGTCTAAAGAAAGCTGGGCTATCAAAATTAGGACCATATAAACTCAATAAAGTAACATGGGTTGCATGAATATGGCCCGTCACCAGAACAAACCGACCATTCGGATCACTAACTAACTAACCGTGGACTCATGTCTAAATGGCACTGTTCTACGGATCAATATAGCCACTCCATGGGCTTTACTGGAGAATGTCGACTGAAAAATCAGATTAGTCCAGGAGCACCTGAGCAACCTCTCTTTAGTCGGTTTCATATGCGATTCCTGAAGATACACAACATCAGCAGCTAGCGATTTTAAGTGAGAAAAAACCTTAGCTCGTTTGTGCACATGCCCAAGTCCTCGCACATTCCAGCTCACAAATCTAATGCCACCACTTAGCGATGATGAATTAGCATTCACTCCAGAAATAATAAATAGCAGTGTACACATGAATTGCCCTTGTATAACATACCGACAACACAAAAAACATAACCCTCTTCCCCCCCCATCCCACTTTCCCAGACAAAGAAAAAAACCCGCATACTCAGAGAGGGACCACATGACCATTATGAACTAAACGGTCCAAGGTGACGAGCTTTCCAACCTCCCCCCACAAAAGAAAAAAATATATACCCTCAATGCCAACATAGTTGAGAGAAAAATGAAATAGTCACATACATCCCGATGCAATGAGTTTCAAATGAGATATCAGAGATTGTAAATTAGTCACTGGCTTCCTGTATAGTTCCCAAAAAATCCTCAGCCTCACGGGGCGTGGAGAACACTTTGACCATGGAGCCATGCGTTACTCGAGCTCGAGCTCCAGCATCCATTAGGTGTTTACGCACGTCCTGGAAGACCTGTCGCTGTTTCACCACCTTTGTCGGGAAGTCAGGGAAGATGTGAATCGCCTTGCCATTATAGTTCAAGGGAAACTGCTCCCGAGCAAGCTGTAGTATCTTCTCTCTCACTTGAACACGATGAATCCGCGCTATAGTTACCTGGGGATGATGATCGCCTCGTTATCCGCATGTTTTCTCAACAAGGGAAAGACGATGGTCGTGATCAGAGCTAGCGTTTTCAACATCCTGTAGCCGACCGCAGATGCTCGTCAAAGATGCCTGTGATGTAGCCAGAGACGCTTCAAGACCGTCAAACCTTTCAGTCATCAAGAACCTTGAAAAAACTTTTATCACCATTGTCCACGTCTTTAGCAGGCTCCGAGGTTAGCTCAGCTTCGTCGACTGGTTCAGGGGGAGCGGTGTCGGTCCCGTTCGGAGGCTTATCCTGCTTTTTAGCTTTTTCAGCTTTTGATTTGGGCATCCTGTTTGAGTTAGGAAACAAGTATTCTTCAGTGAAATTGTGAGGGATAAGGCAATAAAGTCCAAAATGTGAAGAGAGTATGAGGAGCTCCACAGAAACATGTCTACTCCATTCGGTGCTCACTAGCGCCCCTGTTTTTGACTATATATAAGACCATTTTGTTTCTTTCTCTAAGAGATTGAAAAATGCATCTTTAACCGTGTATGTATAAAATATTATGTCAGCAAATGGTTTTTTTTTCACTTATTCTGTTTTATACAGGGACAGGATAGATCCTTTTATCTTTAAGTTCCAGTTCAAGAATGTTGAATACTCTTCAGGACGCAACAAGACCGTACTTTGTTACTTGGTGGATCAAGGAAACACATCAGATGGACTGCTAAGAGGCTACCTGGAGGATGAACATGCTGGGACTCATGCTGAGGAGGCCTTCTTCGCTCAGTGTTTGCCACATTGCAACCCTGCAGTCAAATATACAGTCACCTGGTACAATGTTTGCTTAAAGTATCGTGTGGTCTTGAGAACGTGGCAGTTTACTCGAAACTTATTTCTTGTTTCAGTCAGGTCAGAAGTCTCCATTTTAGACCCACTCATCTCTAGTTTCACCCTTCAAGCCCAAAATCATACATACAATAATGACAGGGAGAATTAAAACTATTAGTTACTAATATTAATGAAAATGAACATGGGTTGTTAACAGAACAGCTGGTTAAAGTTATTACATTTATCCAATCAAATAGTTTTCAGTGCGCACTGAGCCTGAACCTGCTCAGCTAGGCTGTTTCATTAGACAAGATGGGTAAACACGCAAAAGGTGAAGGCATCTGCAGTATTTGAAACCTCAGCAAAATGGATGTTAAAATTGATCTCACGGAAACACTGCAAAAGAACTCAAAAAGACAACTCTATCAGGCCACCTTCTATTTGGTTTGGCTCCATAAAATACTGGTTTACATGTTTGATTAACAAGCAGCAGATCCCTGATTTGAGCTTGAGAGGAGACATAAATACCTTGAAGCTTTGTCAGGAAAGGCATTCATTGTATGTAAAAGGCTGCAACATCTAAAAGTTTTTTTTTTTTCCTGCCTTTTTTAAAGCAAAATTCTGCTCCATACCAGATGGTGGCCTGGGTGGGCAGTTCAGTGTGAGACTCGGTACCTGTGTAAAATGTGGAATATGTCTGAGCCCCACACTGTTTTTAGTCTGGTATATCATTTGTTCTCAGACTATGAGACAATCAAACTAGATACAATAAAAGCATCCACATAAATTAGATTTTGCTGTATACTGACAAGTAAAAAGTATTTTAATTTGAATTCTGCCTTGTTTTTTTCAGGTACGTGTCCTCCAGTCCCTGTTCAACTTGTGCTGCAAAGATAGCTGAACTATTGAAGGACCAGAAAAATCTTAAGTTGAATATCTTTGCTGCTCGGCTGTTTGAGTGGGAGGAAGGAGAGATCCAGGCTGGGCTGAGGACCCTGCATGCTGCAGGCTGTAAACTGAGGGTGATGAAGCCTCTAGATTTCTCTTACACCTGGGATACATTTGTTGAGAATGAGGATCAACCTCTGAATCTGTGGGAGGACTGCAAAGAAAATTACGAGTATTACCATGAAATACTGTCTGATATTCTAACACCATAAATTCTCATTTTTTGCATTTTGGCTTTATTAGAGCTATAAAGTTCTGCAGTGATACTAAATCTGTTATCTGCTTTGGCATTATTTATCTTTAAATAATTTCTTTACAGTTCAGTTCTGGTTCAGAGAGATACACAGACAGAAACAGAGATATCTTTCATAACAAAAGCTGAAAATCCTAATTAAAAAATAAATGTATGTGTGGATCTAGCCTCAGTGTCGGTAGAAAACTGGGATTTATCAGATGGCCACAGTTACTAATGTTGCTTTAAGCAGATTATTGTTATTTGTTTGTTGTTGTTATCTGAAATTTATTACATTTCAAATAACAAAGTTTCACTGCTCTGTCACCAGTTTACAGTAAGAAATAAAAAATATAAGGAAAGTCAATTCAAGCTGCTGGCTCTTTAACTTTTAGTAAAATTCATCCAGTTCAGTTGCACTTGCAAGCTCTAAAAACAAAAGATTCAAAAATGTTCTCTTCCTTTTTATGACTAGGATGACCCGTGAGTATGGTGCAAGTAACATGTTAATTTCATGCAGTTTGTGGATAACAAGTCATGTTTTTGCTGGAAACAATCAAGCAATTGCACACTAAGACCCACAACTAAGGTGCAATTACCCTGTAATCACGTGCAATTTCAGGTAAAAAGTTAGACTAAGGTGCATTGGTTTCATTGATTCCTGCAAAAGCCTAAGGTCCCACAGCATAAGTACCATATACCATATGTGGATTTTGCAGGTAGGAAGTCCAGTTTTTGCAGGAAACATTAAAACAATTACTCTGTTACAGGGTACTAAGGCACAAGTACCCTGTAATTACATGCAATTTCAGGCAACAAGTCAGGTTTTTGCAGGAAACAATTAAATAGTTGCACTGTAAATAATTTTAAGTACAACATAAGCAGTTTCAAAATTTCCCCATCAGGGGGCTATGGATGGAAGAGAGCGTAGAGAGGTGAAGGAACGGGAGACAGGTATAACAGTGAAGATGCATGGAGTAGATGTAGTGATGGTAGATGAGCTTAAATATGTGGAGTCAACCATACAGAGAATGTCAGGTGTGATTTGTGACAGAAGGACAGCAGCTAAAGTGAATATTATGGTTTACAATGAGGCATGCTGTGATGTATGATTTGGCAATTGGCAATGACAAAAATACAGGAGACTGACCCAGGGGTGACAGAGCGGACATTATAAGATTTTCATTAGAAAATAGAATAGCCAGATGAGAAAAAAAGACCAATATGGTCAAAAAGCATTTTCATAAATTTATTAACAATTCAATTCAACTTTATTCATATAGCGCCAAATCACAACAACAGTGGCCTCACGGCATTTTATATTGTAAGGTAGACCCTACAGTAATACATACAGAGAAAACACCCAACAATCATATGACCCCTATGAACAAGCACTTTGGCGACAGTGGGAAGGAAAAACTCCCTTTTAACAGGAAGAAACCTCCAGCAGAACC